TGCTGAGACTGATCAAACATTTCAAAAGTGGTTTGTGAAGTTTCATGCCAGAGATTTCTCACTGGATGATGTTCCATGGTTGGGTAGACCAGTTGAAGTTGATAGCTATCAAATCGAGACATTAGTTGAGAACAATCAACATTATACCACATGGGAGATAGCGAACATACTCAATATATCCAAGTCAATAAAGTTATTAATGAAAATTAAAAAATGTGTCTTTTACTTTACAGAAAAAACTAAACAGACTTCTTTGGCCAACCTAATACTTTCGAAGCATTTTAACGTGTTGCTGGACTCCACTTGAACAGGTGTTCCACAACACATATCAGTGGTGGCATCATCACCATCATCATTGTCTCCTTCATCAGCGTCATCACCACTGTCATCGTTATTGGGATAGGCACAATAAGTGGTCCAGGAATATATGGCTGAAGAGATACTTATGGAATAAGTCAAGTAGGTTTTACACTGTATTAATTTCCTAGGGCTGCCCTAAAAACAAAAAAATTAAAAAAACAAACAAAAACAGAACTACAAACTGCATAGCTTAAAACAACAGAAGTTTATCCCCTTATAGTTCTAGAGAACAGAAGTCTAAAATCAAGGTTTCAGCAGGGCCTACCCTCAAAAAGTTCTGGAAGAGAATCATTCCTTGCCTTTTCCAACCCTGCTGGTTTATGGTGTCCTTGGTTTGTGGAAAAATAACCACAATCTCTGTCTGTGTCTTCCCACGGCCTTCTTTGTGTATCCAAATCTCCCTTCCCTCTTCCTCATAACAACACTAGGCATTGGATTTAGGGCCACACTAAATCTGGAATAATTCCATCTTGAGATTCTTTACTGTTTATATCTGTGAAGACCCTACACGAATAACATCACATTCTGAGGTTCTGGGTGGACATAATACTGGGGGCGCATTGCTAGCTCCAATAAAATGAAAAAAAAACCTAATTGGGGACCTATTTTAAGATGAATTTTAAGGCTAAATTCAGAATTAGAAGGAAAGCATCCAGGCTCATGAGAAAGGCATGAAAAGTGAATGCACATCTATCATGTTCTTGTCATCACTATTCACTTATCTGTAAGGGAACTGAGACTCAAAGGAGACTTGTCAGTGCCCAAGATGACTCAGTGGCAAACTTATATTAGAATAAAATCTGCTGATTTAAAATTCAGTGCTTGTTCTACTACATGATTTAACAATCTTCACTCATCTCAACACTTTTTCTAGAAATTATTTGTAAAAATATAAATAAAGGAACTTGAAAATTGCTGACACCTTAATACTTGTGTTGTTTTAATTGGTCAGATTAGAGTAGTTAAGACCATTTGGCTGACTTGCATTTTCAGCTCTGATGGGGTCATTGGTATAACACTAACCTTTTACCTGAAAACAAAATAAAAGCTGGGTAACGTTTAAAGAAAACAGTTTGGAATCTTTCAAGAGTTGGTACAGCCTATGTTGGTACACATTATGGAAAGTATTACTGGTCAAAAAGGACATTTCATGATGACAAAAAGTGATAAGAATGTCAATTTAGTAGGAATACCTAAAAACAACCTAAATTGGTAGGTATCTACTAACATACCTTTATTATATGCTTTAAAATAAATAAAATTAAGAGGTCACTTAGGCAAATGCATACTTAGAGTTGGAAGTTTTTAACTACTTCTGTTTCTCATAACTATCATAAGCGGATAAAAAGTCAGTAAGGGCACAGAAAATTTGAACAAGGTTGAGAAACCCAGCATAATCGATATACAGAATCATTTACCCAATTACTGAAAAAGGTACTTCAAAAACTAGTGAATGTAGGATATTACCAAACTTGACCATATGCCTGCATCACAGGGAAAGTCAACACAAACTTCAAGGGATTGAATTTTTTTAGAGTATGTCTTCTGACTGCAGTAGAATCAGGCAAAAATGAATCACAAAAGACATAAATAGAAAAATCTCCCAAATATTCTAAGTTAACCATGAGTAAAATAAGAAACCACAGTAAAAATTAGAAAATATGTTTAACTAAATAATGATTAAAATATTACATATTAAAAGTCATGAGATACAAAAAATATGACTTGCAGAATATAGCTAAAACAATGTGTGGTGGCACATTGAGAGCCTGAAGTGCATGTATTAGAAAAACAAAAACACTTAAAAATAAATAACCTATTTTTTTGATGTTAACAAACTAGGGGAGGAAATGCATTAAATTGAATGAAAGTAGAAAGAAGGAAATAATTTTTAAATGGTAAAAAATAACTACACACAGAGAAATCAACAAACCCCAAAATTAATTAATCAAAAATGTAATAAATATTGATAAGTTTCTAACAAAAATGATCAATAAATAAGGAAAGAGAGAGACATAAATAAACAAAATCAGGAGTGAAAAATATCCTACAGACATTAAAAATAAAATTAGGGGATATAATGAACAACTATTTACCAATATATTTTAAAATGTAAATTCATTGAACAAATGAGCAAATTCATTGAAAAACAACTTATTAAAACTGATCCAAGAAAAAATAGAAAATATGAATAGTGCTCTAGTAAAGAAATTAAAATTTTAGTAAAGGTCCAGGTGGCTACATCAATGGGTTCTTCCTAATATTTAAGAAATAACATCAATTTACCAAAAACTCCATCAGGGATTAGAAATAGAGGGAAGATCTCTCAATTTATTTAATGAAGCCAGCATAAGTTTTGATACTGAATCTGACAAAGATACTACGAAAAATTATGGAACAATGTCACACACACAAAAATCTAAATTTGGTATAGGGCAGATGAAACAGGCATGTGGGTCAAGGCTATTACGGTTGTTTTCTTCACATTTCCCTCATTTTACTCCTCAGGAGGAGAGCGACCTTGTGCTTTTAAGGTAGAAAAGAGCTGTGTTTATTGGAAAGAAGGCAGTCCCGTAGGAAAGGTTCCCTTCTGAAGTCATGTTATTTATTAAATCCCACCAGGGAAGGATGCCCTTCTTCAAAACCCATCAGTGCGCTCTGTATTGGCAGTCCTCTGACCCAAGCCTGTGTGTCATAACTGAGTGAAATGGAAGGAGCAGAAGCACAGGCCAGACACTGTGAGTCTGTCCCGGCTCTGCCATTTGTTGACAAGGTGACGTTGGGTAAGCTTCTTTGTCAACCTGAGCCTTAGTGTTTTTATATAAAATATGGGTTAATAGTATTTCTCTCAAGGTAGGTAAGTGCATTAAATGAGATAGCAGGTGTGAGAATGCCTAGCACAGACTCTGGCACATGAAGCTTTATGTGCACGCATAGAGAGACAGATTTTCCTGAAGCTGAAGATACTGTCTGTACTAGTTATTTACATGACTCTCCACTTAAGGTCACTATTGTCTACCTTTTTATGTTTCAAATATATATTATAATACATTAATATTATCTATATTGAGCAATAAATACATTCCTCTAAAAGATTACCATTTATTGTTGTAGCTACTTGTATCTGTGTGTACATCACATGCAGATTATTAGAATGCATAGGGTGCCTCTTAGGATATACTGTTTAGAGAGACGATGATCAGATTACTTGGAGAGGGAGGGGTGCAGCAGTGTCCAATAATCCATGGGGGCATTCTAGGTACCATAACAAATCAGAGGAAATCTTCTTTTTGCTGAATTACCATGATAAAAGTGCTCTGGGGTGGATCAGAGTAAAGCAAGTCATGAAAGTGGTTTTGACTCATGAGACAGTATAATATGGATGAAAAGACTGAGAATCAGTAACCAACACTGGACTTACATTTCCTCACCTATGCAAGACCCCCTGGGACTTACATCTTTAAAATATCTATGCAAAGACACTTCCTTTCCTGGAATTCACATTCCTCATACTCCTGCATGGAAAATTGTCACTCATAGTTTAAAATTAGACATTCATTTAATCAAAAATGCTTATGAATCTCTTACTACACATGAAGCACTATGCTAGGCACTGGGGTTCTGATGGTGAGCAGAATCAGAATGTGATCTCATCCTTATGGGCTCAGCCACTACGCCATTGTCCCCGTGCAGCTTGCCCCGTTGGCCCCTTCCCTAGAACTCAAAGCTCTGGGTGTCCACATGGTATTAGAGAATAACCTACATCTTCACAAGGCAGCCTGGCAGGCAGCTCCTCGAAGGCCAGGCCTGGGCCAACTCATCTTTCATTTGCTAGTATACACCTCGGAGCTGACACGTAGTAGAGCTCAGTAAATGTGTGTTGAAGAAATCATTCATTATTTATGAAGCCTTGGTACCATCAAATCTGTTAAATGATTCTGCTAATAAATATGGGAGAAATGAAAACAATTGCACTCAGGAAAATTACATATTTTTAAGACATTCCTTGGTTTCTTTTCCTATTTTGTTAGATTTTATTAGCAGTCTTAGCAGCTACTTTTAAAATTCCTACAAAGCTAATGTCATTTACTTTTAAAGAGATAAGAACTATAAGTGTAGGTAAATATGCCTGATTGGCCTTTTCAGGTTTAAAATCATGAGAATTTTTTTTATATAATGAAATAAGCTTCCATTTACTTGGAAATAGTTACATACATGAATGATTTAATACATCATAAAATTTTTTAGGTTTTCATGCTAGTTAACAATTTTCATCTAGAAATGGCAGAAGATGTTCCTAGAATTTGACATAACAATGCCAAAGTCTGGCACATCCTCCAAGTAGAGATGACATTGTTTATTTAAAAACACCTGGCATAGATATAAGAAGTTCCTGAAGTTTACAAAAATGTGCTGAACTGTCCTTGAAAAATGAAAAAAGAAAGCTTGTCATTACTCGTGCCACAAAAGGAGGATATTTTTGCTGCTAGAGGCTTCTGCAGCAAAAATATCAAGGGAACTTTGGAGATAAAGAGATGTAGTTTCCATCTATTTATTTGGAAATAATTAAAATGTTTAGCCTTTAATTATCATCTAAAAATCACATATGAAATAACTGAAGAGTGAAAGTTTGAAAGTACCTACTTGGTTTGATGTTTAGATCCTTTCAGGTGGGCATGATACTGTTCTATTGAGTTTAGAGAGACACTGCAGATGGTACACCTGTAAGTGCGCCTCAGACCTGTGGACAACAGACAGACCCAATTAGCCGCATGCTTGTCTTCAAGCCCCTGCATGAATCCTAGAATCTCCAGAAGTTCAGGCTCAGAGTATCTTACAGGTTATCTGGTCCACCCCACCAACAACACTTCCTTCCCTCCTTCCAGAGCCCAGTCAACAGGTCTCATAGAAGAAGTATTATAACTGGGAATATGCTAGAGGCTGCCTGCTTCACTTATGTATGCCTGACATTATTAGAACATATGTTATTGATGTAAAATGTTTCTGGAAATTCTATAACCCAAGCGAAAAAGCAGCCTACTTTTTCTCAAGGCAGCTAGACATGGAAAGCTGTCATATCCACATGAAACTTGAGACTCCAGAGAAAGCCTGTCTCAATTCCTCTTCCACCACTACTCTGATGGCAGAATCAGAAAACGGCATACATATCATTCATTTGGGCTCTTCTTCCAAGACCATCTTATAAAATGTAAACACTCAGAAGGGTCCTATATTAATCTAATTCACATGAAAGCTTACTTTCTACCAAAGAATTTTTTAAGTTATCTATTCATTTGTTTATTCATTTAATTTGTTCATTAATAGAGTATCAACTTTGGACCAGGCACTGGGTCCAATATGAGTAAGTTGCTCTTTATTTCAAGGAATTTAGTAAAAACCTGACTCCTTTATAATATTGACTCTCTAGAGTCAAACATGTTAGAAAGCAGCTTTAACCAAATAACTTTAAACATTTCCCACAGCTTGGGGACCTGCAAATGAACACACTCCTTCTGCTGGTGTGTCCCATTGGAGAAGAGACAAAAGTAAACTCAGAGTCAAGAGCTGAAACTTCAGATTAAAATTCTGACTTCAACTATTTCTGGTTGTGTGATCTAGGGGAAGTCACATAATTTCTCCCTTCATCTGCAAGATGAAAACAAGACCATCCGCACCACAAGGCTGTTGTAAGAATTAAGTCAATAAGATATATTAAAATTCCTAGCAAGAGAGAGTTGTTTTTATTAATTTTGCTCCAAAATGCAATGTCTTACTTCTGATTTCTTATACAATTGTGGGGGAAACAGAGTGAGATAAATCATGTATGAGAGCATGTCTGACACGTAACAAGAAACCAACATAAATAAGCTATTATTACAATTTCAAAGAGATATTAAAATGGAAGGCTTTCTGTCCTAATGTCCCAGATGAAGCCTTAAGCTGGAGCCCTAAGACATAGATGTTAACATAGATGTAACTATACCCACACTACTAAAGGGAATATGAGAGACCCAATTCAGGGCATCCAAAGGAAGTGATCAAGAACCAATTTCCAACCACGAGTTGATCATTCACCTCCAGTCTAAAAAAGAGATAGAAAAAAGAAAGAGGTTGAGAAATTCTTAAAGGGAGCTATGCAGTACTGTCAATTTTACTACCCCCCTCAATGTGAGATGGGGGGTAGTTCTCTCTCACCTGTAACCTATGGGAGAAGGGTTCAATGAACTACCCAGAAAGCTTGAGGCATACCTGCTTGTACTTGGGAAACAGCTTGTTGGACACTTTAAACCACCTGTAAGATCCAAAGCTCTAGAGACTGTGGCTATTAGCTACTCTGATGGTAAAGTAAGAAAGGTAGCAGGATTGGGCACAGCCTGTATTCACAGAGCTTGTCAGAGCATAAGCTATATGAGAGCTCCCATCGACCATGTGTGTACCATGCATGAGAGGAGCTGGTTAGTGCTGTCTTAGGTTAGAGTTGGGGGCAATAAGATCTCAAAAGAAAGATGCTAGAAGTGTTCAGCTGGAAATCTAGAGAGTTGACATAACCCCAAAGGAAATACTTAGCTCAGATCAAGTAATCCTGAGTTCCTGAATAAGCGATGAAATCCTTCCATGAGAAGTCAGTTGGCAACCCCTGCCAAGCCAGGCAAGATCGATGCCAGCTTAGTACATGTATCTATCAAGTAAACCTTAATCCCATTTGCCTTTCTCATTTGACACACTGAATCCCTCAGCCCTGAAGAAACCTGAGGCTAACCGCCAAGGTAAAGAAAGAAGAAAAGCAAAAGCTCCAGGCAGAGAAAAAGAGAGCCTACCTACCACACTCAATTCCCACAGCAAACAAGCAGCCCAAGCAGAACTGAGCTAAGGAAGGGAACAAGTAACTTTTAATAAAGTTAGAAGATAATTAAAAATATTTTTCTGTCCTGGATATATTAATTAATGTCAGAGAACTCTTCTGTATCTAGAAATAAGAGTAAAAACATCTTTACTGCTGAAAAGTGAGTGAAAATTCATTCTCCAATTTTTATCCAAGAGTTAGGAAAAAAATTAACCTCACAGACAATTTGAAAGGGCAGTGGAGGGTAAGAGTAAGGTTACGTTCTGATTATATCTAATGTGTTTCACTGATTGTTGTAGAATTGCTCTTATGTCCATAATGTGACAAAGAACAGAATTTCGAGGAGACTGTCAAATTTTTATGGCCCAACGCATGTTTCAGAAAAATCTGTTTGATGTGTTATATGATAAGTTGGACTGACCAGCATAAAGACTGGCTTGTTGTTTTAGTTTCAATCATGTAATTGGACACTGATATCCCTAGCTGTTCAATTAAGAGTGAATTCAGTTATATTCAGTTATAGTAAAAAAAAAAAAAAATGAAACCACAGATCTCTAGGACCCTCTTAGGAAGCAATCCAAGGGACTCAAAATTTCCAGAAAGACTAGTGATTCTGAGATGAAATAGGCAACTGTTGACTCTCCATTCCCTCAAGTAATGACTCTCCCAAACTTCTGAGGGTGGATACAGACTCTAGTGATGATGCAAAAATGTAGATTCCTAGGCACAACTTCTGGAGATTCTGATTCTATAAGCTTTGGAATGGGGCCTGGGAATACACAAGAAGTTTCCAACTTGTAACCCCAACCCCCAACATACACACACACTTTATAAAGTCCTGCCCCATAGACTCATATGCCTTTTGATAACTTGAATTTGTCAGAACAATAGTGGGTCTTTAAAAAAACATTATTCCATAAAAAAGAGCTGTGCTTACATCGCTTTTGCATTTCACAGGTGTGTGTGATTCAGAAAGATTACCATAGACCCCAAACCCAGAGGCTGTACGTTATCACAACGACCATGCTTATGAGTTGTTTGAATCCTTATCTCCTCTTTTATGCATTGAATCAGAATATGAAAACCAGCTTCAGGCCTTTCTCCCTCTGCAGTTCTCCATCAATCTTGTCATAATAAATGATAACTACCTTTTATATGGGTCCTCTTCAGACTTCAGACCAATCAAAGGTCTCCTCATAACAAATGGAGGTTGGGCTTGGCAACAGGCATAAATATTTATGTTTAAAAATGGGCACTTTTCACATCAGCAACAAATCTAAAAAAATATTCTGATCTGTTGCTTTTCATTACAGTTCTCATGCTCTGCAGCCAAACAGAGGCGTGGGCAGGAAATATTTGGCACTTTATTGCGATGCAGACTACGGGGAGTATAAACTAGAAAGGCAGTGCATATAAACAAGAACAAAAGCAGCAAAGGGGCAGAGAAGTCCTCCCCCACACATGACACAGTGTCCTTGGTGGGAATTTAGGGCTTTATTAATGCTCAGTTGAAATCCTAATTGCTTTGAATTTTATAGCTCCCTTTTCCTCAAAGAAATAGAGTCTTATTAAACAAAAAAGCTAACTTTCCTATTTAATTCATTTTCAGTGCAATACCATATTAAGAGTACCCTAAAACCCTAGCAGACCTAAAGGTTATTTCCACAGGATTGCCAATATGTGTTAGGAAGTGGCAGTCCCTGCCTGCAAAGAGCTGGCAGTTAGATGGAGAGAGAATACGTGGATACAAATAGCAACGGTGTTAAGGTAGATCATAAAAAGGTACCACAGTCAGGATGAGTAGAGTGTTATGGGAACTAGAGGAGGAGATTGTTTCTAACTCAGAGAGTCTGAAAAAGTTTCTTAAAGACGCACTGCTTTGTACTTATATCTCTGAGCACAGGGTGTAGAACAGATGGTCCTGGAGAGTTGAGCAGCATGTGACTACTCTGCATGCCTTTTCAAGTCGAGCAAAGCTAGACTTTAGATGTCCCTGCAACTTTAGTGGCACCCATTCTATATTAGAGAAACATCATTGTGCCTTTATCATGATGCCAGTTATTTTGCTGAGTGCCAAAAATGTAGGAGAGTATAAAACAGACAGAATAAAATTCTTTATGGAGCTAGTCAGGTAGGAACACAAGAAACTAGGAAACAGATAAAGACATAATTAAAGATTGTGAAAGTGTCACACAGGATATAAACAGGATAATGAGAGAGAAATAAGGAAGAAGGTTGATTTTTGATTGCATGGTCAACAGAGTTCTCTGAAAAGTGTCATATGAAACCAAAGGGATGAGAATTAAGCTGTGACGTGAAGACCCCATTCAAGAGTTGTCCAGGGAGAGTAAACAGCAAACACCAAGAGTCAGGAGTGGAAATGCTCAGTCTGTTCAAGGAACAAAAAGTGGTGAAAGAAACAAACTAAATTAAAACTGTCCACTCAGAATTCTATATACAGCAAAAGTATCCTTCAAAATTGAAACTAGAGGAAAAATTTCAATAAAAACTAACAGTTTTCCAGCAGACCTATATCACAAAAATGCTTATAAAGTCCTTTAGGTAGGAGACAAATGACACCAGCTGTGGATAACTATATTTTTATTCCTCTAAATTTATTTTTAGACAGTGAACAATTTAATGTAATACTGTAATATTGAATTGTGGATTGTGGTATTTTTAATATATATGTACATATATAGACATGTAAAACATGTATATATGACAAGAATAGCACAGCAATGAATAGGAGTAGAATACAACTGTTGAAACATCATTATGTTTTACATGAAATGGCAAATATTAGCTCTGAAGAGACAGTGGTCATTTAAGACTGCATACTATAATCCCCTAGAAACAAATACAAAGATATAAAGCTAAAGAGTTTATAGAGAAAA